TTGTAAACTCTAAAGATGTGGATTCAAACTGTGAAGTTTATGAGAGTTGGGGTGTAATTATTTGAACTGTCTGATTAAAGTCTATTTTATTGGTTGTTCCAGTGTTTTAACAGATATGAGATGCCTTCTCTCTCTTTCTCTCTTATATTCAATGAAGTATGCTTTCTATTTAATGGAAATAGCACCTTACAAGTGTCTAGTCTCTAGCAGGTATGGTTTTAACTCAACGAAGTACGCTTTCTATTTAATGAAAATAGCACCTTACAAGAAACCTTAGGTTCTTTTCTATATGGTTTTGTCTTTTGGGCTTTTTGAATTCGGTGAATTCGGAATTCACCGAATTCTGAATTCAATTCGAAATCGAATTCGAAATCGGAATTGGCCATTTCGAATTCGAAATCGGTGGGGAAAATTCATGTCAAAATTTCGAAAAATTCCGATTTCAAGCTTTCGAATTACCGATTTCGAATTCGATGCACACCCCTAATTTACAGACTTTTGTAGATATGGAACATTGGCCCAAACAAATGACCGATCCCATCTAGAGTCCATATATTGAAAATGTCTTATACTTGCAATCCATGCATAGATCGAGAGCAATTTTTTCGGACCACGAGGTACAGGTCGATATTAAACAAGTCAACGGACTTTTTTGGAATCTTGTACACAATGATCTAAATCCGTGGATAGCACACTATCTAAGGGAGGTGGGTTTTTGGGGTATACTACAAGCAGGCCTATTTGAATTTGACCATGGATTGATCACAGTGTTTATAAAATGATGGAGATAGGAGACCCACCCTTTTCATCTCCCTGTCCGTAAGACTACTATTACTTTGTAGGATGTGAAGGTATTATGAGATCTCTGTGTAGATGGATTACCGGTCACACTTATTGATCGAAATCAGTCTATTGCTTAGAAGGACTTGATTCAGGAACTTTTAGGATTCAGACCAGAGAATTGTCATTTTAAGGATGACAGGCTGAAACTTGTACATTTATTAGAGTTTTTATACGAACCTTTTCCGGATGATGCACCGGAAGAATTAGTTCGTCAATATGTTTGGTACTATATTTTGATTTTATTTGGTGGACAACTATTTGCCGATACATGCGGCAACGTTGTTAGCTGTCATTGGTTAGATTTCATTCGAGACATTGAGAATATAAGCCAATATAGTTGAGGCAGCGTGACACTTGTGTGTTTGTACTCCCGTATGTATAAAGCATCTCAGGCAATGACAAGCTACACTGCTGGGCCATACATGCTTTTATAGGTGAGCGTATATACATTATTTGAATGTATATAACATTTTTATTTCACTTCTTTTTCGTAAGAATACAACTTGACAAAGTTTTTCATTATTACCAACTATGGACATAGGAGAGAATTTCCAAGATTAGACCAACCGTGTTGATTCCCGCTACATAAGGAAATGATTTTTCGAGAAGAAGTCGGTGGACAGTGAACCGTACAACCAAGTACATGCCCTTGCATGTTATATCTGCATTTCGTTATCAACTTATCATGATGGACGTCGATGAGGTATTGCCCAGCCGTAACTGTTTTTATAGATGTATCTCTGCTTGTAATCACTGTCAGGACTAACTGTATTTACTTAAATAGTGAGAGTTTATTTGGGAGTTTTATCCTGACGAGATTATTGCGCATCTTTCCACGTATTGTTCGGCCGGACGACATGTATGGCAGTCGCTCATTTTGCTGATATATTGGGAGGTAGTTGAATTTCACTTTTTGCAGTGTGTGCTACGATAGTTTGGGATGCATCAACCTATACTAGACATGATTGACATAGATTGTGACAAGAAATTGCATTCTTTATACCGACCTAGACGGCTTGGGAAAGATTAGGCTTAACATCATAGTCATTGGATTGAATATTGGGAGTGTCATACTGAAACATATGTTCGAGGCACTCATCGCAATCCCAACGAATGTATGGATGACTACATGACATGGTACCATAATCGGATAGTCCGCTACATATCATCTCCTATTTTGGAACTGTCTTGACATGATGGTCATCGAGGAGATGGGGATTAGTTCAACTATTTGATAATTAATTATCATTTTAGCTTTACTTCTAAGCACGTATTTATGTTCTCTTAATTAACATACGTAATAACTACAATGAACATTTCCTATTTTCAACAAATTGATATTGCATCACGGATAGGATCAATTTACAATAGATATCTTGATCCTGCTAACCCTGTTCAGTGTGCTCATCCCGGCCTAACTTCCATTAGAAAGAAGGCATTTGGGACATTACAATACTTGAACCAGGGAATTCGGACTGCAGTTGGACCCTTTAGCCATCACGATATTGGTCCATCTACCTCTCACGCTGCACCTTTCAAAATCTGTCGAGCATCTACTCAGGTAGGTTTGTGGTAGGAATCAGGGAGGAAGGTGTCGTAGGAGGGCTACATCAATACGTGATAATGATGTTCTTGTTACACAGGCTCCTCATACTTCATCACATGGCCGATACGACCCTAATGTTGTCACTCAATTTTCCCATTCCGGATCATTCTATACCCCTCTGTGTGTGCCTACTTTTGGAAGTCATTTAAATGTGACACTTACTCCCTTATCAGGATTCAATTATATGACAAGTGCTGGTTCATCCTCTGTTAGGCCACATACGTCATCTGGGATGAATAATGATTTCATTGATACCCTTGATCATATCTATGACTTCTTAGGGTCCTCAATGGATTTTTTCACCAGTTTTTCAGATATACGCAGATACCGTTTTCATCAAGACCCTTCCAGTACTTCAACAAATCCTTCCTGTACGAGATGCAGTCAGACTCTTGTGGTGGACACTTCCGATGATGATGAGGACGAACAAATGCCTGAAGTACTACTTAGAAGGTCTGAACGGCTACAGTTGCAGCATAATTTGCCACATCGGAGAGTGCATTGGAGATGCGGTTGTTCCACTATCCCGCGCGATAGGGGCAAGAGGCACGTTCATGGGTGATTACAATTTGTAGCATTCATTAATGATTTCTAACTTTAAACAATGACAATACTTTTCACTTTGCTGCATTTAACATTTATTATATTGATACTACATTATTTATGGTACCTTTTTTTTTTTTTTAGTGTAAGCAGGAGGACTCGAACCCGAGACCTCTCACTTACACTCCCTCCCCCTGTACCACCCAACCCAACCCTCCCCCTGGTACCTTAATTATTCATAAAAGCAAAAAATTATCATACCTACGATGCAGTGTCATAAATATAAATCAATTTTTGTATTTGAATTTGGGATCTAAACCTCACTTTTTACTCATTCATCAGTATTTCATCATCGATTAATGGTGAAAACAAAATAGTATATTATTAACGTAATTTTTGCTTAAAAGCATAATACATTTTAAGACCAATTTTTTGTTCAGGATGATAAATTACGATTTAGGGTTTATAAATTAGGGTTCAAGTTTTATGAATTAGGATTTTAGCTTTATAAATTAGTATTTAAGATTTACTAATTTGGATTTAGGGTTTATAAATTAGGATTTTGACTTTATAAATTAGGATTAAGGGTTTAAGCTTTATAAAGTAGGGTTTACGAATTATAAATTTGGAATTAGGGTTTAGGCTTTATAGATTATTGTTTAGGGTTTTAGTTATTAGACTTTAGGGTTTCATTAAAAAAATTTTAAAAAAATGGTCTTAGCCGCATGCTCAAGCACTATCATATTCCAATAAAAAATGAAAACAAAATTTTCCTTCTCAATCGTAAAAGGAAAATGAAAAAGAAAATTGGTTTTTTTAGTAGCCGATAATTTCATTTTTTTCATTTGCGGCGACCCTTCAATCATTACACATTCCCATACAACACCACTTCTCCGACTTTTTCTCTCATTCGCATTATTTCTGGAATTTCGCCGGGAAAAGAGCATAACTGTTTCTAAAAAGAATACCCCAAAGGAGCTTCACAGGTGGACAAATTTGAACATGTTTCCCGTCTTAGTTCTCCAGCCTTAGAAATTGGGATTGGGATTTTGTGGGCCTAATAGCAAATTTCGTGCAAATGCTAAGGAGCCACTTCCAAATTTCATGTCTTTCAATCTTTTATTTTCTATTAATTATAAGCTAAACAAAACTGACTCCAATTACGTTTTCAAAATGTGAAGTAATTTTGTGATGAAATTAAGGGCCTCCACTGAAGAGTTAGCTGCTTCGAGTCAATTGTGATAACCTTCAATGTTGTGTCTAAAAAGCCCCATTCTATGACAACTTTCTGTTGTCACTGGAAAATATTGTTATTAATAACCCTTTTTTTATTATAGTGTAGTGCACCACATTTGTAGTATGTCATGAGGCTTTTTCTTTTGTCACTCTTTTTTTTCTATAATGTGATTTACCATAATGTGTTATACCACACCGTAAAATTTCCCTTAAATATATCGGTCGATTTGACAAACCTTTCAGTGTGCAGAAAAAAGTTATGCAGCATGGCATATGGAAATTAAGACTTAGTGGTGAAATGATTGTTAGAGGGTGGCTAATAGAAGGCTGTGCTTATGGATCCATATCCTTTTATATATATATATATATATATATATATATATATATATATATATATATATATATATATATATATATATATAATACATTAGTGCAATGATTTACCATGATGTAATAAAAATGAATGCCAATATATATATAATGATGCGAGAAAAGTCCGAATGATTATTGTATATACCACATGGTTTATATATTAGCTACAAAATCGCAGAACTCCACAGATACAAAATCTGGGGCCAAGATATGATTATCCTGATGAAACTATAGGCTCCGTTTGGATTAGACTGTTTTTGTTTTTCAAAGACGAGTAGAAATTTCTATAATAAAGGGACCCTTCTTCTCATTCCTGCTCCTTCCTTTGCAACCTACAAATCGTCAAATCCCACGAGCGAAACAGTTAGTCCGAGTACTGCTAAGAGCATCCCGGACCAGTCTAACCATTATTTGTCTGCTTGCCCAGAAATTCGACAGGTAGAAGAGCAGATTGAAGACATCTCGCCAGTTCTTTCGCAGTCAGGTTGAATTCTTTATCCATCTACAAAAAAATTTAATTCGTTAAAAAGAAGGATTACTACAGTGATCTGTAAAAATTTTGTGAACAAAATGGTCTATACAGTATAGTGTGCATGGCAGACCTCGGCTATAATAGTGATATCAAGAGCCAGATCTCGAAATTGTGCAACACTAGTATTTGTGACTGTGAGATTGAGTTTTTCTACTTTACAGATGAATTTGGTCAGCAACCCTGTTTGATTTCCATAGCGAATTCTCAGCAGAACTTTCTTGTCACAAACTTTAACTTCAATTTCAGGTAATGACAGTTGATCAATGGTGTTAGCTGTCTCATCTGAGGATCCCTCATCTTCAGCTAAAAGTCCTTGTGATTTCTTCACAAGCACTACAGATTCCACAGTTTGCTTTGTGGTTTTTTCTTCTAGCGTGTTTACTCTCTCCTGTAGATATTTCAAGTACTTGATGGCATCTCCCAAAACTGAAGTTTTATCCATCTGCAAGCAAGATATATACAACACCTTGTCAATATTAAGATTTGTATGTACACAAGATTAAGTATATAAGCTGCAATATCGTACTAAAATTGTGAATATATACATAAACATAGTAAGACACAATCTTGCATAATGTGCACATAATTAACGTTTATATCGCATCAAAGATTCCTACTTGTCTTAGCACATCTCTTGCCTGTTTTATAGTATACAAAATCTAGACTTCAACTCCTCACAAGTCACAACCACCCGCCCTCCCCTCCCATGCACCGAACGACTTGAAATTATGCCAACACAAAGCATTTGTTAGCCTTCAAATTAGAAGACCTGAAGGTGAACATGTAATGGAGAATTCAGTACCTTCTTGAGGCCAGGAACCATGGCGGAAAGAGCAATGAATTGCTGGCTGAGTTGCTCACGCCGCTTTCTTTCTGCTGCTATGTGATCGTAGGATTTGGATGGTGGTCGAGTACTACTTCCAGGTTTCTTTGCTTTTGTTCGGACTGCAGTAGCTTTAGCAGCTACCCCAACATGATTTACAAATGAACCATGGGATGCCAAAACCCCAGACACTACTTCATCCTCAGGGTACAAGTTTCCTAGACTCACTTGTTCAAAACTTATATCTGGCACATTTGGATTCCCAAAAGTGAGGATGACTGGGGAAGAAGAAGCTTGATCGAAATTAAACATGGTATGGGTGTTGGATAATGTGCAGCCATTAGGCTTGCGCTGTTTAGCTGGTCTTTCGGTCACTACCAGAGGCGGCGCCATCACTATTGAAGATACACAAGCTGGAGCTGGAGCTGCTTCCTTGAATAATGGTGGGAAAACATGTAGGTGAGCTGCATTCTCGAGACAGGGGGCTTTGGAAGTCATTTCCAAATGCAGCAGGTAAGGCTTCATCGAAGAAGTCCATAATTTGACAATATTGATCATTTAGAAATGGGCTTTCCAATTCCTGACAATAGAAGGAATGTATCATGATGATTTGAGCTACAAAAAACAATCGACAAATTAGCTACAATTTGATTGATTAAAGTCAAGAAAGGAAACCACTGAGAGCTCAGTGGCCACCACCTCTCCTGGTGGGGCGGGAGGTCAGGGGTTCAACCCTTGCCTCCCACCAAATTGTCTGTCCCCCTCATGAGTAATTCGATTGGTCTCAGCAAGTCTCCTTAGGAACTAGTGTCCAGTGCTCGCAATGGTCCGAGTCCCATGGTTATCGTGTTCGGGGGATGGGGCCTTTCCTCCCGGGCCGGAGTGGGATTAGTCGGGCACCGCAAGGATTGACCCGGACACTCACTCCGTCAGCAAAAAAAAAAAAAAAAGTCAAGAAAGCAAAAAATAAAAATAAAAAAGTGGCAGCACAAGAAGTTTTTCCATTCGTCTGCATTTGTTTGTCTTACTTTGCTGGTAATTAAAACAACTAGATCACGATTAATAAGAATTAGTTCTAGGAGACAAGTGCGTCTTGTTTTATGCCATCTTCCTCATGCAAAATTGATATGGACATAAAACTAGAAAGAAGCGATTAACAATTTTACACTCATCTTCCTTAACCTCCGGAGTTCAGATTAGCTTCTTGCATCTTAAATGAAACAAGTTGCTAAAAAAATATGCCCATGAGTACTTCATGAAAGTAGGATCCAAATCCAAGAAAGTCCTATCTTCATGATTTTTAACTGCAGTCTGATGACCCTAAGAGGCTATATCCATTGACCTGAACTTCGAATATATTATTGTTTCATTGCTCTAGAACTTTTTACTCTTGTAGAAGGTAAAAGTTCTGGTTTACATGGTAGAAGTATTTGCAGCCACGCATACATATAGCTGAATCTGGCCGGATGTTCACTTGTCTGTGAAAAGAAAAAACCAATTTATACAGCTAAATCGTCTGAAATAAAAGCTAACAAGAAAAAGAATTCAAGCCAATTTTAGCCATGTTCATCCACATGTACCTTACGTACGCAAGTGTAGGAGTCAAGAATGTGCTTAGCTTATGACTAATATACACGAACGAACATTCAGAAGGCATACATAAAAGCTTATATCCTTTCTAGATAATTGAAATTATAATGGCAAGATACAAACAAATCCCTATCATCCATAACATGTGTGATCAAGTTTGAGCAATGTTAATGTTCAAGAATTATGACTACAAATCTAAGTTTCAAGCAGATTGCATTCTTACCAGATCCAAGAGCCATGAATTTGCTGAATTGTCCACGACATCATTGGCCATGGCTGCACAAAAATAGAAAGTTTAAAGCATCCCAGGCTAGCTGACGAGGTGGACATAAATGCAACTTTAGTTTTCAGAATAGGGGAGCTAACCTCACGTCGCCAACTCCCAATCAGACAGCCTATGAGCTTTCCCTTGAAAAGCTGCTAAAGAAGATTTGGCTTCTTATATAGAGGAGAAGGCTGCATAACATTATATGGTTTATTTAATTTTGTGAAGGATGAAAGTTCAAAGACTTGTATCAGCCCTACAAAATTAACCTTCTCGCTCTATTGTCATATTCCGACTGCGGTAGGTATATTTGTGTTTTGCTCAATTGTGTTCGGTTCTTTCCCATGAGTACGGATTGTATATCAAATAATGTAGCAGATACAAAAAATGCATAGCATTCAACAAAAACACAACTATATGCCTCTAATGATCACATTTTAATACACTTCAAACGTACACATTTTATACACTATGGTTCTAAAGTCCAGGGCTTGGCGCATGAAAAATTTTGTTACACAGTCGGTTCAACCACTATGCATAATTTTAATATCCCGAGGAGGCATTAGTCTACCAGTTAAAATTAAGACTTTGGATTGCCGGTTTCTGTCGAAAAATTATGTCGTTTTCCGTGATCACATTTCCCTATTACCTTTTTCCCTCACATATATCAAATCGCTACAGTAATTTTTCCATGAAAAATCACGAAAAATGCAATCCAAACACAAGAATTTAGAGCTCTTGGGTTCCAGTCTTTTATTCTCTTTCTTACTTCTTAAATTTCACGTCTCTCCTACTAAAAGTATAAAAAATCAGATACATTTGAATACACTTCAAATCGTGCATCATAAAGATAATAATTTTGTATTCCTCAATTCTACAATTAACTAGTTTTGAGTATTTGTTAAGTCTTATAATTAATTTTTGAAAATAATATTCAATTCATAGATCCTTTATATTATGTAGTAACACATCTACAATTACACGACATTTACCCCCGCGTGAATGGTCCAGCGGCGGCGCCTCTCACCAGTGACCCTTGAGGTCACAAGTTCGAGTCTCCGCTACGCTGGATTCCTCCGCGCACTTAACGTGTTCGGACCAGGTTGGGGCGCCGGGTCCAGGCCGCAGGGGATTAGTCGGGCCCCGTAAGGATTGACCCGAACACCCCTGTGTCGACAAAAAAAAAAAAAAAAAAAATTACACGACATTTACGTTTAAAGGGGTGTAATAATTAAAAGGGCAAATTACATTTTAGCCCCTTGTGGTTTTCGCAAAAACCACATAACCCCCCCATCGTTCAAAAAGCTATACATAAACCCCCTGTGGTTTGGGTTGAACTGGCAAATAGACGGAAAGCACCCACCGTAACGATTCGTGGGCAAAATGTCCAAATTACCCTAATATAAATACAAAAAGGAAGCAGATGAGTCAGATTCTTCCTTGTTCTGTCTTTGTCGTGAGAAAAGGAGAGAAAAACATGACCACCGAATGAAGGAGAGAAATTTAACCCACAAAGATCTACCATTGAAGACCAAAAAGTAGCTGTGAAAGAGCATCACGAAAGCTGTTGTTGCATCTGGTAAGTTTTTTGACATCATTTTAGCATATAAGATGCACTTGCATGGTTTTTGAACAGAAACTATCAGGCATTGGAAAGTTAATAAATCAGTGATTATTTTGCTTAAGCGTTGATTAATTTAAAATTTTGCTGCTTTGGGACAATCTGTATTATCATATTTAAGCATAGAATATTTTATCGACTAGAATTGAATTTATGCATTAAGATTAGGGTAAAGAAAATTGCATTCGGGAGTAAAGAAAATCCCGCCTGCATAATAACGTTGAAACCCGCAAGCGGGATTCTGTGTTTTTTCTATTTCAAGGTTAGCTCGCATGCGGGTTAATGTTATATTTGAGCGCGAGAAGAAAAAATTGGTAATTAGACTCTTTGGGCATTATAAGTAAATATTTAAATTAATGGCAGTTTTATTACACCAATATTATTGTATTATCATTATTATGATTATTGTATTATTTCTTATGCAAATATAACATTTAATTATTTAAATTTGATTTTATTTTTACAATTTATAAAATTTTTATCACTTATATAATATTTTTAAAACCCTAATACATCTAAATTTGATTTTATTTTTCAAATTTATAAGATTTTTATTTTAAAAAATGGGATACGGATAAGATATCCGGTTGGTTCGATTTGCATAGGTGCATATGAGAATATCCGAATACTCTTTAAACCCGCATGCGGGTTTAAGGAGATTATGGCAACTCTCTGACACACTAGTTACCCGTCCAACTTGTGTGTAACTAAAATATATTTAAATAATATATTTCATATTTTTGTTATTTAGAGTTTAACAAAACATTAATATTGGGTAGATTTGAGGGATATGCATAATTTTGCATATTTGTAGGAATATTAGAAAATGGAAAATTTGGGTAAATTCCCAAATTTTGGAGGTAAGGTGCAATCCAAGAACTAAAACAGTCATTTATAAAACCTTAACAGTCATTTATAAAATAGTCATTTCTAAAACCTTATCATCACTGCCTCACCAGTTGAACGAAAATTGCAGGTTTGTTCAGCTTCTATCTTCACGGCATTTCTTCTTATTTTTCTTTCGTTCTCTATCTTGGGTTCCTTCACCAACTTTCAGTGCAAAGTCAGCAACAAAGTATTTCGGAAGATGGAAAGAGATGAGGAGCACCCATCTAGGCTTTATTGGGTACGTCAAATTGGTCAGGGGTAATATGGGTATGTTTCCTACTGCTACCAGAAGAACAGGCGCGTTTTGCCCACGAATCGTTACGGTGGGTGCTTTCCGTCTATTTGCCAGTTCAACCCAAACCACAGGGGGTTTATGTATAGCTTTTTGAACGATGGGGGGGTTATGTGGTTTTTTCGAAAATCACAGGGGGCTAAAATGTAATTTGCCCTAATTAAAAAGCTAAAAGGGGCTGTGTAGATTTATTATCTCTTCCCCAACAATCCACTTTAACTCTAAAATTTTCAGGTCACCAATTTATCATATTCTCCCAATCATTTACTAATAGTACGAACATATGAGCTCAAAGGCAGGTCAGTGAGCAACCGTTAAAATAGCTTCTTTTGGATTTTCGGGTAAGATCCTGTAGTATTGCCTGCAAGCACGTGAGAGAACAGAATCTAGTTGTGGCGCTTGATTCGTCATGAAAGCAGCCATGCAGAGACTGAGATTCTTGCCTCGTTATTCTTATCATTCGGAAGATCTATCTCTAGTTGCCATGTGTGTCGAAGCAAAGTCCCCCGTATGGATTAGCTTTTTAAGGATATTTTTAAAATATTTTACTATAATAGTGTATATAAAAAACTTTTATTATAAATATTTTTTAAAATATTTGATCTATTGTATTGATGAAATATTTTTGTTTGTATATTACTATAACATTACAATTGAAAATCTTATTTTTGCAATGTTTTTAAACTTGAACTAGGGATTGAAGCAGAAGAGTCTTTGACTTGTGGTTCAATCGGTTTGACCAATTTAATCCCAGTTCAATAATTTAATTATTTTCTTTATTTTTAGGATTAAAAATTTTAAATAAAACAGGAATATTTGTTTAAAAAATAAAAAATTAGTAAAACTCAGTCAAACCTCCTAGTTATGCTGGCCGGTCCAACTCGATTTTCAAAACATTAGTTTTTTTTTTGGCAATTAAAGGTTTAGGTGATTGGGGTATTCACAAATTATCTAACAACATAATTTTTTTACATTGATAATAAAATACGAACAATACAAATTTTTTAACGGAAGCATAATACTATATTTTTTTCACCATTTACAGAGACTCTTTTTTTTTTTTTTTTGAAGAGACTCCTTATCTAGACAAGATTTTTTTTTTTGTTATGTAATTTAACTTCATTATCGCCTTTGTAGAGGAGCAAATGTATTAGTTTAAGTTGGAACGAATATTACAGAGGGATAAATTGAAGATAGTGGAGGAGCCATTACTAATGGCAGAGGGGGAGACTACTTGTGGCTGCTAATTTTGGACGAATTCTTCTAAAAGTTAAAGTTAACATGCAATGTATTTGCCATTTTATCTGCTTAATTAAATCTATATCATAGTCAGTAGCAATCTTTTTCATGAATAGGTAGTTTTCCATTGTTTGATATAGTGTCCAACGATTTTGACGATTGCAACCGGTACCTGAAATTCTCATCTCAAATAGTATCCAATGGAATGATACATTTATCGAACGATGTACTCTTTAAGAAGGAAATGTAATTCTTGAGAAAAGCCTCTTTGACAGGAAATTATAGTAGAGAGAAATGGTTCTATTGCTTTTCCATGAACAGCGAAGAAAGTATGTTATGCTGAAGATAGGTCCGAATAGATATTACACTAGAAATTGAGTAGGTTGAGAGTCGACATAGTGCCGCATAGCAATGAAAAATTTTTCAACAGATAAAATTTGTTATATACATTAAAAAGACATTTAATGTAGTTTGCTAAATCTCAGATCTGACCCAATCGGTCCAATTGGTTGAAGAGGAAGTGGTTAACTGTTCATCTGAGTCAACGAAAAAATCGAAAGGCAGATTGACTAGAGAAAAAAAAAATTGAAAAAGTCATTTTTGTTAATTTTTTTGCATTTGTTATTTGTTTAAATTTTTTTAAAAAAAAATTTATTACTTATTTTTTACTTGAGTTTGATACAGAAAACTTTTATAGCAATAAATTTTGACTTTTGAATTATAAAATTACTAACCCACAAACATGTTTTCAGCATCAAACTCAGTATCTAATACGTTTGCAACCTCAAGTGTTCATTAAGATTCAATATGATTATTTTCTCTATTTCTCTTCTTCAATTTAATAGATAGTTGCATGTCATGTTTCTGTTCTAATCGTTTAGGACTAGCAAGTGATTTCTACTCCTTAAAACATTTTGCTTTTTATGGCAAAAAGTTCTCTTTGTAAAACAAGAAATAACAAAGTTTCATTTTGTAAAAAGCTTTTAGGGACTTAAAATTGTGTAATTTTGTAAAACATGAAGAAGAAGAGAATTCTCCATTGTCCACCTAAATGTATTTTGTGGCCTCACGCCTCCTCCACTGACCCAATGCTGTTGGCCTTGCACTGGTATTTTGCCTCGCATGCAAGCAGTATGATATTGACCATTTTATATTTTAAGTTATCTTTCTTGTTTGATTTGCATCATGGGTTCAAATTACTCACTTGAGTTTGTGAGTAAAAAAAAAATTTCCAAATCTCGTGAATACGACTATAGTGCTGATAAGATCAAATTGGAAACGGAAAAGAAATTGAAATCTGTATGTAATTTATTATATTATTATTATCATTATCATTATCATTATTATTTTAACTTCTCTCCCCTTCTCACTCCTTTTTCACCCTCAACTGTCGGTTTAAAATTCGAACCTGGACCTAGAAATCAAATTATGTTTTATACTAACTTAAATGATTCTCAACTAGCATATTTTAAAATTTCATTTAGTTTCTCAGTTATTACTTGTTTAAAGGGGCATAGTTAGTAGTTAACTTTAGCTCTTTGTTTCTCCCAATATATGTCATAAGTCATTAACTAATTGTGCTCCAACTTATAGTCACACACATGCACAAGTAAATGCATAGTCCCACAAAGACATAGATAGAGCACCTTTGGATTGCCTTTTTTTAGAGAGTTTTTAGAGAAAAATTATTATTATAATATTTTTTAGGATATGATGCATGCGAGATAAAAAAAAAGTGATTAGAAAAATGTGCAGAAAAAATATTCACAAAAAACAGAAAAAATTTTCCCAAAAAGTGGCAATATAAACAATATACAGTAGTACAATTACTTTTTTCCTTAAATACTTTTCAATTTGTCTCTCCTTTTAGTTATTATTTTTTTATGGTTACATATATCCTATCATAAATAGTATGTGACTCATAAAAACATATTTTTCAAAAATTATAAATGTCTTTGAGTAGAAGATTATTTTAAAAAATTATTTAAAATAATGCTATAACACTTCTTACAATATGATATGATTTAGATGAAAAAAGCATTAAAAAACTTTTCATGTTCGAATAAAAAGGCATACATACTAGAAGAAAGAATTTGGCCGACAAATTTGACCATCCGTAAAGGGTTGAACTGATACTGGCTTCTGCGGTCATGATTCCATATACAGTATTACAGTTATGGCGATCCGCAGTTCTTTCCTAACTCAGCAAGGCACGGCTCCACGATATGATCCCTTGAAGACTAAATCTGGCAAAAGCCGCCAATTGTTTTTGTTGATTCTTAGAGGTTAGCAACTTAGCATAACGACATAAACAAGGCTGCTTACAAGTGCTACTTAAATAACTATACTACAAAAAATATTTTGGTTGCATTATAAGCATTTTTATAATCAAATTTCTTTATTCTAAATCACCTTTTAATCTTGCATACATTAGATAACAAGAACGGAAAATGGCCAATTTCGTTCCTATACTTTTATACTTGTGTCGATTTAGTTCTTTTATTTTATTCTTGGCCAATTAGATGCCTTAACTTAAAATGCAAGTTCCATTGAGGCCCTTTGTGGCGGCGCCACCAGAAAATATCAAGCGAGCGTGAAATTGACCACATAATAAGGGTTACTTTTGGAACATCACTTATGGGACTCTAAGAAAGCCAAATAAAATCATACGGTAGCAGAATTAAACTGTGAAATCATACCAAACTGGAATTTTGTCCATCATTACAAGTGAAAGGGGGGATCCCCAGTGGACATTACAAGTGAAAAACCCAAGCGCATATCAGATGATGCATATCTACCAACTAGATAAGAGAACAACTCAAGTTCTCCATTGATGCCAAGTGTCAAGGTGTCATTGTAAGAAGCAATTTTCGTTTCTTTATTTTGGCCATTAAAGAGTGTGAAATGTCTATTTGAGCCTTGGTGTCCAAATTCAAAGGCTTAATAGTTCCTTACTATTTAGGGTAGAGAACAACTCAAGTTCTCCATTGATGCCAAGTGTCAAGGTGTCATTGTAAGAAGCAATTTTCATTTCTTTATTTTGGCCATAAAAGAGTGAGAAATGTCTATTTGAGCCTTGGTGTCCAAATTTAAAGGCTTAATAGTTCCTTATTACTTAGGGGCTAATTGGTAAAAATGATTTAATTATTTTCATTTGTTCCTTTTGTTTGGTTTTTAATTGGTGGGAAAGGTCAATTGAATCCTTTTATGAAAACTAGCTCTTTAAATAGTTGCTAACTATTTAGGGTTATTTTTGTACATTTGAAATTATTTCTTTTATAATTTTCTGATCAAATACAAATAGTTGTAGACTATTTGTGGGTCCTTTTATCACATGGGCTGTTTTTGGATTAATTAAGATAATGGAGTTAGTCTTATTAGTATAACTCATGTTAGACCCGTTAATTAGTGAAGCACCATAATTAACAAGTGGTTAGTTTAACACTTAGCCCTAATGATTCTCTATTAATCATCATTTTTTGTCGTTGTTTAGCTTTCAGAACCAGAATTTCCTTCCCCTGTCTTTCGGTGAACAAATGGTTAGTTTAACACTTAGCCCTAATGATTCTCTATTAATCATCATTTTTTGTCGTTGTTTAGCTTTCAGAACCAGAATTTCCTTCCCCTGTCTTTCGGTGAGATAGGTACCTATAAGTCTGCAAAATCTTCACTTTTCTACCAATTCCTCGAACAACTAATTGTACTTCATTTTGATTGCAACCCAAAAAATCCTCCACATACACGTGAAGATTTCTTTTGCCCCCAAAATCAGTTCAGTGATATTTCTTTTCCCTCAAAATCAGCTCACTTTAGGGATGAATCCGGTACCAATTTATCAATCATTTTGGTACTTGGTTTGAATTTAGCACTGAAACTCTCCTCTTTTCCCGGTATTTGATTTGAAGTGATGTTTACTTTCAAAAAAGAATTTTTAATCATGTATGGTACAAGTACAGAAAATATAGGTATGTTTCATTTTCCTCGCGTTAAAACCCTATCTTCGGGCGCTGCAGCCGATCAGCAATCAATCTCTCCATTCTTCTGGATTTCCACTATATCTCAGAGATGAAGGTGGTCACCGCATATTTGTTGGCCTTGTTGGGAAGAAACACCTGTCCCTCTGCCAAGGATATTAAGGTCATCCTTGCTTCCGTTGGAGCTGATGTTGATGATGAAAAAATCGATCTGCTTTTATCTCAAGTGGATGGTAAGGATATCACAGAGATGATTGCAGCTGATAGGGAGAAGTTGGCTTCAGTACCCGCTGGTGGTGGTGCTGGTGTTGCAGTTGCTGCTGCTGCTGCAGCTGGAGGTGCTGCCGCTGCACCTGTTGCTGAGGATAAGAAAGAGGAGAAAGTAGAAGAGAAAGAGGAGTCCGATGATGATATGGGCTTCAGTCTTTTTGACTAAGGAGTATCAAAGTGCTGGTCTTTTTCATTTAGAAGTTTCGTTATGTTTTTGTTTCTGTTTAGTATTAGTTGGTGTCCCTGATTTTGCTTAGGAAATGAGTGACAGAGATACGACATTCTTGTTCTGAAACAAGCTTTTTTTCCATCATATTGTTACTTAAAAAAAAAGGTATGTTTCTATCTTCTTTCCTTCTATTCTGAACTGCAATTTTTCAGTTTGAATGTTGTTGCCTTCTATTAATTGCCTTCTGTTAATTAAAGACCGCCATGTGTTTGATGTTATGCATAAAAGAATCACAATGATGGTAATTTTGTGGATTAGCTTATGTTTGCTTTTCCTCTGTTTTTAATTTCAAATGTTGCATGATGATTTTAGCTGTTTGTTATGAATTGGAAGCTAGATTTACATATGTCTTTGCACAAATTAAATGAAGCGTTAATAATTCAGCAGACTCGCTAAATACTCCAAACGAGTCGGTCTTCTCAGGTACGGATGGCTTTATGCTCAAAACATTTATTTTCAGACCAAATCAAATACGCTACTATTATCGACTATTCACATCACACTAGCACGCAGCGAGTTTTGGTTAACCATTTATCCAATTTTGCCGCTTTTAGTTTCCCGTTTCAAGTTATACGCACTACAAGAAAATTGTTCATCAGTGACAACACAAAGTCATCACAGAACATACAAATATCGTCACAAATACCTTTTATTGACGACTTTTTAATCGTCACAAAGTCGTCACTAAATCCCCGTCGGTAAAAGTAAACAGTGACGAGTCGTCACTAAATAGTTCTCATTAGTGACGACTTTAAGTAGAGCATTTTTGACAAAAGATCAAGTCGTCAATAAAACACTTCCAGATTGTCGTCACTAATGACAACTATTTAGTGACGACCTGAAATGTCATCACTAAATAGTAGTCATTAGTGACAACAATTCGGAAGTGTTTTATTGACGAATTGACCTTTTGTCAAAAATGCTCTACTTAAGGTCGTCACTAAAAAGCACCGAAAGCCATTGTATATAACTATTTTACTGACAACAATTGTCATCACAAATTTAGCGTAGATTTAGTGACAGTCTCTGTTGTGACAAGGAGTTTTTATTTTCTATTTTATGACAACTTTTTTTTGTCATTAGATAATTTCTCAATAGCTTAATAGTCATAATTTGGCCTGTAATCATTGCTAAATCATTGATTTTAAACAAACCATACAAATAAACATGAACGATTGATAACCAAAAGTATTTGCATTAGATTACATGGTAATAATATAGCATTCTCAAATGCCAAATTCAAGTGTACATTACCCAACTAATGCCTACAAAAATAACATTTGTCCAAAATATCACTTGTACATTTACAAAAGCAATCACAGTTTAAGAAATTGAAGAACATCTAAATGAACCACTCCATGAGCAAAAGGCAATTTTGTCTTCAACATTCTTCAACCATAACCATAGATATCTTCCAAAAGCTAGTATGAATAGCATTTATCTGTCATAAAAGAGTAAAAGAAGTAGGTAAGGGGAGGAGTACAATAATAAAGAACAAGTAATGAGACTTAGATTATTAAGACAAAAATTACAATTCATTAAGAACCTCATATAATTTGGACCCACATATTACAACACCAGCAAGAAGTTAGAAATCACAGTCCAATCTATACAAATACAACACTGCATAAGCTCAACTAAAGAGCTCTCTAAAACAGTTTTTTTTTATTTTCTTTCTTCTTCTTTAAATAGCTCAACTTATTGAACAATTAAATTGGACTCCCACAGTAATTATTGTTTAATCTTTATGCTTTTGGTTGTTTATATATTAAAACACAGAAAGCAACTTATTGTACGAGGTGTGAATACAGGAGGTACTAGCCCTCTTTGATTTTAGGAGTTTATGCTTCATAAATCATGAAGGAAACGATGCCTCTGTAGGATTAAACTGTGCAAAGAGAATGAGCTATTTGCCTCACAATGTGAAAGTGAAGACCATCTAAACAGGTGAAACCAATCAAAGTTCACAAACGCCCCCTTTGCATTATATTCATTTCTTTCAAGTCACTACATAGGCAAAAAGAAGATTGCTATCCATGCATGGTCTGTCGCTTGTACTTGGAAATAATATACTATTGCAGATGAACAATCAGATTTTTACCTCTCTATTGATAAATCAAGGACTCCATCAAAAGAGAACAAATATAATCGAGGGCACCAATAGAAAACCTCGGCCAAACTAGACTGGTTTCTAGTCAATTTCTTCGCTGGCTTTCACCAAGTTTCATAGACTTTTAGTCTTCTCTGAGTTTGCATTCGACCAGATCGAACAGCTGAAAATTCCTGGATGAACCAATTGAACCATTCAAAGGTTGAATATTTCCTAGGCAGATTTCCTGCAAAAAATACATAACTCAATTACCCAATTAAAAAATAAAACCCACCATTAAAGGAAAACCATGGCTGTAACATGTCAAATTTGTCTTCTTTTTCTGCTGCATTAGGGAAGCTAAAGAACAAGTTTTACTTTAAAAATATGTCTGGTGACCTTAAAATCTTATTGAGGTTCAATTACTTACTGAAGGGATTATGATGACGAACCAGGCTTTAAATATAAATGTTCATAATAAAAAATATAGACACTGAAAGAGAAAGAGAGACTGAGATATTGTCTATGCAGGTCTGTGGTAAATTTATAGCTCTGTCCTTTAGAAAATGGAAGGCTTTAATGATCATAACAGCTGTAGCCAACTTCCTTTACCGGCATCATTTACTGAGTGGAGCAAATATACCGACAAACACGCAATAGTTATCTGATTCCGCTCAATCAGGTGTTTGGTAACACATTTATTGTGTTACAAGAATACATCAACACTAGATTTCCAATTGTACTAAGAGAAGCTCAAGGTAAAAAGGCTGCAGCTCACAATGTATTTAACCTTTTAAACTCAGTAAACAACTTCAGTTAATTTGGTTACAGGTGGTGATACCATTCCATTCATATAAAATGCAAATTCCGTTAATCCGAAGAAGTTAATGAACAAATCTAACTGTGCTGTATTAAATTTATACGTTGTATTATCAAGTTTAGTGTTTCTGTGCATAAATTACCTGGGTTACTTACTTAGAGATGTTACATTCATCATCATCAGCTTCACTATGAATTTGAATTAGGCAAGACCAGAGTTAATTTGAAAAGGTTGAAAGTATTCAAGAGACCAAAGTTAATTTTCCCAGGTAACACAGCAAGACCAGAATGCAAGTGATATGAAAAAAGTTGAAAAGGAAAAAATTTAAATTTAAAATTAGAAAAGCAAAAAGGAGCCAAAGTGGAGTATATCTTAGTATTGTCAACTGAACAGCAGCCCCAAGTTCAAAACAATTTAAGGGGCAATTTTGGCAAGTTTTGTGAAACGGTCAAATATATGCCCTCAGGTGAGGTAACACAATCAAGACCAGATTCCAGTTTCACAAAAGAACTGTTATTCTTGGTTTTGATGATCACAAAAGTTCTTTGAAATATCTATCTAACCTTCTTCAAATATAAGTGTTTTTTGCCTATCAAAGAATCAGGTACTAAAATGTCATGAATTGCAAATCAACCAAAAGAAGAAGCAAAAACAGGACACTCATGTCGGACGGCCGAAAGGAATCTGTCGGACGTCCGAAGGGATGAAGAACATCAGGAAGGAGTTTCTGTCGGACGCACATCGATCGTGTCGGACGTCCTAAAAATTCCACATAGCTTTGATGACTCTCTGCCAAGACACTGTCGGACGCTCGCAAGGAAGCATCGGACGTCCTGAAGGATCGGACGCATGCTTCGGACGAACATCAATATCATCGGACGTCCTAAAAATTTCTGGACACTATGCTATGGACACTATCAACAAGAAGCAAGTGGACAAATGCTATGAATGTGGACAGCCTGGACACTATGCAAACGAATGCCCCATGAAGAAAATGAAAGATGGAAAAGCTGATCGAAAGCCAAGATTCAACAACTTCCAGATTACTTGGAATGAATGCAACTCTGAAGGGGAAGTTGAAGAAGAGGAAGAATCAGCTCAAATGGCCTTCATGGCTATTGGAGATAATGAGGAAAAAGGATCAAACAAGTCCAAATGGTTTATTGATAGCGGCTGCTCAAGGCATATGACCGGTGATCCCTCCTTGTTCATAAAGCTAAAATCAAAATCAAGTGAAAAGGTGACATTCGGTGATGATGTGAAAGCTAAGACAATTAGTATAGGAGATGTTGGTAAGGATGGTGAAACTTTTGTCCATAATGTGCTCTTAGTTGATAACTTAAGTTATAACTTGCTTAGTGTTAGTCAATTATGTGATAAAGACTTGAATGTGTTATTCAAAAAACATGAATGCATTGTGCTTGATTCCAAATATAATATTGTGTTCAAAGGTAAGAGGTTCAACGACATATATATTGTGGTTCTTGATAAAATTGATTCATCTAGCTTGAAATGTCTTAAAGCCTCAAATGAAGATCCTTGGTTGTGGCATAGAAGACTTTGTCATTTTAACATGGATTTACTAAAGGAAATTTCGAAAAAGGAGTTGGTTAGAGGCTTGCCGAAAATCAGTTTTGATAAGGACAAAATATGTGATGCATGTCAATTTGGGAAGCAAACAAAAAATTCCTTTAAACCTAAGATGTGTGTATCTACTTCTAAACCTTTGGAACTCTTGCATCTTGATTTATTTGGTCCCACTCAAATTACTAGCTTGGGTGGTAAAAGATATTGTTTTGTAATTGTTGATGATTATTCTGGATACACTTGGGTGCTATTTCTTGCTCATAAAGATGATGCCTTCAAGAATTTTACTTCATTGTTTGCTAAAGTGCAAAATCTGCTTGGCTTAAAAATTGTTAGGATTAGAAGTGATAATGGAACGGAATTCAAATATTGTGGTTTTCCAGATTTCTGTGATCATAATGGCATTACACATGAGTTTTCAATTGCAAGAACCCCACAACAAAATGGTGTTGTAGAAAGGAAAAACAGGACACTACAAGAGGCTGCTAGAACTATGTTAAGTGAATGTAGTTTGCCTAAATACCTTTGGGCTGAAGCGGTAAACACTGCATGTTATGTGATGAATAGAATACTTTTGAGACC